TGTGTATCCAGTCTGATAGTCTGCGTCTTTTTATTGGGGAATTGAGACCATTGATGTTAAGAGATATTAAGGAAAAATGATTGTTGCTTCCTGTTATTTTTTTTATTAGAGGTAGAATTATGTTTTTATACTTATCTTCTTTTGGGGTTGTTGGAAGATTACTTCCTTGCTTTTTCTAGGTTGTAGTTTCCCTCCTTGTGTTGGCATTTTCCATCAATTATCCTTTGAAGTGCTGGGTTTGTAAGAAGATACTGTGCAAATTTGGTTTTGTTGTGGAATATCTTTGTTTCACCATCTATAGTGATTGAGAGTTTTGCTGGGTATAGTAATCTGGGCTGGCAATTGTGTTCTCTTAGGGTCTGTATGATGTCAGTCCAGGCTCTTCTGGCTTTTATAGTGTCTGGTGAGAAGTCTGGTGTAATTCTTATAGGTCTGCCTTTGTATGTTACTTGACCTTTTTCCCTTACTGCTTTTAGTATTTTTTCTTTGTTTTGTGCATCTGATGTTTTGATTATTATGTGACGGGAGGTATTTCTTTTCTGGTCTAGTCTATTTGGTGTTCTGTAGGCTTCTTGTATGTTTATGGGCATCTTGTTCTTTAGGTTAGGGAAATTTTCCTCAATAATTTTGTTGAAGATATTTAGTGGCCCTTTAAGTTGGGAATCTTCACTCTCATCTATACCTATTATCCTTAGGTTTGGTCTTCTCATTGTGTCCTGGATTTCCTGGATGTTTTGAGTTAGGAGTTTTTTGCATTTTGCATTTTCTTTGACAACTGTGTCAATATTTTCCACTGTATCTTCTGCATTTGAGATTCTCTCTTCTATCTCTTGTATTTGGTTAGTGATGCTTGCGTCTATGACTCCTGATCTCTTTCTTAGGTTTTCTATCTCCATGGTTGTCTCCCTTTGAGCTTTCTTTATTGTTTCTATTTCCAGTTTCAGATCCTGAATGTTTTTGTTTAATTCCTTCTTTGTGTTTTCTTGCATTTCCTTAAGGGATTTCTGTGATTCCTCTTTAAGGGCTTCTATCTGTTTACTTGTACTCTCCTGTATTTCTTTAAGGGAGTTACTTATGTCCTTCTTATAATCCTCTGTCATCATCATAAGAAGTGATTTTAATTCTGAATCCTGCTTTTCAGGTGTGATGGGGTGTCCAGGGCTTGCTATATTGGGAGAACTGGGTACTGATGATGCCAAGAAACTTTGGTTTCTGTTGCTTATGTTCTTGCACTTGCCTTTCACCTTCTGGTTAACTCTAGTGTTACCTGCCCTCACTGTGTAAGACTGGAGTCTGTATTTCCAGTTATCTTGCTTGTTGCAGAGCTCCTCAGAGTCCAGATATCTCTGTGGTCTTATGATCCTAATCTCCTGGGTGGAAGAACTCCTAGGACTCGGGCACCTCTTGGATCTGGAAATCCTTCTGCTCTGGGTGCAGTGGTTCCTCTAGGATGGCTCAGGATACTACGTCTCCCAAGTGCAAACCACCTTGGTGTCTGCTGCTCTGAGTGCAGTGGCTCCTCAGCTGCTCTGAGTGCAGTGGCTCCTCTAGGATGGCTCAGGATTCAGTATCTCCACAGGAGCAGACCAACTGTGTGTTGGCTGCTCTGAGTGCAGTGGCTCCTCTAGAATGGCTCTGGATTCAGTATATCCACAGGAGCAGACCAACTCTGTGTCTGCTCCAGCCCAAAGGACCAGGCAGGGGCAGAAGGGACGTGGAATTCCGGAGGGGTGGGGTTTGGGTAGCTGGTGTGTCCTGAATGTCCCTGGCTCCCAGATGTATCTCTGGGGCTTAGGGAGTGAGATGGAGTTCTTACCGGCTGCTCTGAGTGCAGTGGCTCCTCTAGGATGGCTCGGGATTCAGTATCTCCACAGGAGCAGACCAACTCTGTATCTGCCCCAGCCCAAAGCAAGAATAAATTTTAACAAGAAGCTTTTTAAGCACTGGCGCCTGGACTATTGGTGCCAGGACTGCACTTGGAGTATTCTCAAGATGCAGCATTTAGTCCTATCAGACCAGAACTTACAAAGGCAAAAACCACGAGATTGTGTATTCTGCCTACATGTAGACAAAGGCATATTTTAACATATATGTCCAAGTCATCTATTGAGCAGAGTAAGAAACTTGATTACAAAAGCAGAAATTGCAGTTAACTATCTGACCTATCTTACAAGAGCAGTATATTTTACAGGATCAATTTTAAGACTAGCCTTCACTGTCTGGGAAAGGGGGAAGTGAGCTACTAAGATACTACTTGAACAAGCTAGGTGCTTACATATTAGAGGATTTTTTGCTTTTTTATTTTTCTCTCTCAATCATAGTAATCAAAACCTTTAATGTTAACATTACAACCAGAGACTGAGACCTACAGAGACCTACCAATACTTTGCTAAGCTCTTCCCTTGTGTTTTACCTCACAAACATGCTGAGATTCCAGGTTGCTGGAAATAGTATTTGCCCCCCAATGGTAGCAGACATTCACCCCGAACCCTGATTTCCTGTATGAGCATCTGTCAATCAATCTATCCTTTCTTCATCTTCTCACCACCTCTAGTCAAGGTTTTAAGATCCAAGCTATGTGGGTCACAGTAGGTACAGATATTGTCTATCAAGATAGATTTCCAAGTAATTCTGAGTATGTGTGTGTGATGCATGCCTGTGTGCTCATTCATGTGCATGTGGAGACCAGAGGTCACCTTATTTTTTGAGACTGAGTCTTTAAGCTTGAAACTCCCTGATTTGGCTAAACTGACTGCTCAGTAAGCCTAATCCTCCTGTCCTCATCACTCCAGCACTGGGATTACATGCCTGCCCAGTTGTGGGTTTTGTTATGGTTTTGCAGACCAAGAAGCTTCTCTGTCCCAGGTTAGGAACAGCTTAGGACTACAAGAATAAATTTTAAAATTTAGATGGCAATTTGACCACATGGCCATTTAGTAAACACTAGCAGGTTACACACTAGGGGCTATAACCTCTCCAGGCATAAGCTTTTTACAAACTTTTTAATGTTTGTGTTTTTGTCTATATGGGTCCAAGCACATGTGTATGACAGTGCCTGTGGGGGCCAGACTTCAGTGTTGGATCCCTTGGTTGCTGTGAATCAAACTCAGGTCCTCTTTAAAAGAAGCAGAAACTTAAATGCTGAGATATCTCTCCAGACCTTCAACCAGGGTCTTAACTCATCTTCTTGGTTAATTCATTTTTCTTGAGGTATATTTCCTGTGTTCTACACTCTCAGACCCATGATCTATCAGCAAACCACACTCAAAGCTGAGACATGGCTGGAGGGCTGACTACTATTTACAGGAATGGTACACATGTGCAGAGGTGAACAAGCAAAGCAATGCTTGTTCTCATAATACCAATTTATCTGGATCATCATCCTCTTTCCTTTACTGGCTTCTAAGAACATAGCCTTTACCCTACTGCAGAAAATGTGTGTATACATGTTTTGGATCTGTTCATATTGTTAACCAGGAAGGAAGTTCTCACTGTAAGGAGGTAAGGTATATACCAAGACCATCCTTCCATAATTCAACATCTTCAGCAACTCATCAGCATTGTGGCATATTCATGTTTTCATGTCAGGGAGGCACCCAGGGGCTTAATGAAACTGAATATGTAAGAGACTTCCGGAAGGAAATAACCAAAGGTTATGGGTGTCTGTTCTTATATAATTCTCCAGAACACTGACTTCATTCATGGACTCCTCCAAACATCATTCATAGGCTCCTATTGGTTAAACCATATTTCCCAGTCCTCAGCTGTCCCTGAAGAGTAGGTCATTAGTGAATATAAGTGGGTGCTTTCCTGTGCCAAGCTCAACCACAATTCTAGAAGAAAAACCCCAGTGAGGTACAGTAGTTTTCCACATACCTCAAATCAAGACAACATCTCAGGCCCCTAAATGACAGGGACCTCTTATCCAGAGTCCTGACTCTGACTTCTGGGCACTCCCTGAATCCCTCTATTCACCAATACACAGCAGTAAAGACCACAAGACTACAATGGCAACCTATACTAGGTGCAGGGCTGCTGTTGCACAAGGGAAGACAAGAAGTAAATAAGGCAGGAAGTGAGGTCAGTAAACAGGGAGTGAAGTCAAGAATAGAAAGTAGCAGCAAGTGGGGCTGGAGAGATGCCTCAGCAGTTAAGAGTACATCTGCTCTCCCCCACCCAAAAAAAAAAAAAAAAAGAGTGCATCTTCCCTTCAGGAGAAACAGAGTTCAGTTTCTAAAAACCACAACTTACAGCCACCTGTAACTCTGTAAGAGTTACATAATTTTTAAAATAAAAGTCTAAAACCAGAAGTGGCAGCAGAAATGGGTCCCTCATCCCTGATCATTGATACATCCATCAAATGTAATATTTGGGTAACTAGAAAAAGCTTAGACATTCACATAACCCACCTGCCCCCATTCGAATATGAGAGGCCACTACTCTCCACACTCTTAACTGGTTCTTTTATTTTTGGAGATGGGGGAAGGGCAGACTGACTAGCTGGATTATTGTATTGTAGTTTGTTCTCTTGACCATCAGTCTCTTAACTACCTGTAAGACCAGTATTTCCATTCAAGATTACTTAGAGTTTTATTGTGTAAGATGCGTAATAATTTCTTATAACAGTTATTTACATATTTTGAAATTGACACATATTTAAGTATTAAGTACAAGTAGGTGTGCTATGTATGAACTCTTCTCCATTGATAGGTCCTTTCCCTTTAGGAAAACAATAAAATTTTTCTGCTCTTCCAGAGGACCCAAATTCAGTTCCCAACATCCACATCAGGCTGTTACAACTGCCTGTAACTCTAGCACTGAGTATCTGATGCCCTCATCTAGCCACTGGGGGCAACGCACTCATGTACACATACCCACATACACACTGGATTTAAAAATAAATCTTTTTAAATAACACTTTCAGGAGATTATTTTTAACACTTTTTTCTGTCTTTAATTCTCCTGTTCATGAAGATGTAATAGCCATCTTGTTTGGAAGATCAACTGTCACAGACATTATAGTCAGATACATCTTACTTTAATGGCCTCAAAATGTGAGAATATAAAATAATGGTGGGTACAGGATTTGGTACTTTCTATAGTTTTAGGCATCCATTTCAAGTCTTTAAATATATCTACTATAAACAAAAAATGACTATGCTGATCATATAGATTATATACTAATAAAAAGTAATACCCTACCCCACTTTCTGGAGGACACATTTTCCTTCTAAAAAGTAGACATATCCACCTGTGACTTAAGATGAGGTTAGGGTAAAGGCTAAAGCTATAGACTATCAAAGGAAAACAGACTATTAGAGAACAAAAGTTTTTGCACAAATAATGGAGCAGGTCGGCTGTGAAAGCCAGGTGTTTTGTAAATTAATCTTGAATCCATGTTAGCAAAGGTTGAAGAAAGGCCATTACACAGGTCTATTACGATACCTACAATGTGCAAGATATTAGAAAAGAGACTTTTCCATCCCATGTGGAGTTCTTAGAGCAAAGTAGACATTGGCTCAACTCTTGATTGAGCACAAAGAAAGCTCATGACCCACCATCCTACCTTGTTGCCTCTCCCTCATATTTATTTTCCACACTCATTTTTTATATAACCTCCCCACTGTTGAATATGTCCATGTCTGTGGCTTTAATGGTGATGTCCATGGTTATGAACATCTTTCTGGTCAATCCCTCTGTTGAAAGCCGGTATTTCTAGGCCAGTGGGAGGGGTGGTAGTGGCCTTTGCACAGCTCTGATCCTGTGTTGTAGGCGTTTCTTCCGACTGTGCCAGTCCTCTGCTAGAACCCCCACCAAGATTATTATAATCATGGCACCAAGGCATATCCGGACCAGGTTCCCCTTAGCATACTCCTGGTGAGCAAAATCTAAAGGAAAGAAAGTTGGCAACAGATGTTAAAAGGCTCATCTCCATACCACACTCCATATTCATGATTTGAGATTCTATTTTCCTCCATCAGTTAAGATGATCATCCCTGCCATCACCAACAAGGGTCAGAACAGAATAAGTCCAATTATCTATACAGTGATGTTTTCACAGCTCCCTCCATGAACCCAATACAATCGCTCCTCTAATACAATCAACACCTTGTTATATTACTGACTTATAAAAGAAGATAACTTGCCCCACCTGGGGATCCATCCCATATGCAGCCTCCAAACCCAGTGACTATTGCTGATTCCAAGAAGTACTTGCTGACAGGAGCCTGATATGGATGTCCTGAGAGGTTTGGCCAGAGCCCTACCTATACAGATGAGGATGCTTGCAGCCAACCATTGGACTGAGCAGGGGGACCCCCAATGGAAGAGTTAGGGGAAGGACTGAAGTAGCTACAGGGGTTTGCAACCCCATAGGAAAAGCAACAATATCAACCAACCAGATCCTCCAGAGCTCCCAGGGACTAAACCACCAACCAAAGAATACACATGGAGGGACCCATGGCTCCAACTACATATGTAGCAGGGATGGCCTTGTCTGGCAGTAAAGGAAGAGGAGGCCTTTGGTTCTGTGAAAGCTTGATGCCCCAGCATAGGGAAATGCTAGGGCAGTGGGGTGGAAGTGGGCGGGTGGGTGAGGGAGCACCTTCGTGGAGGCAGGGAGATGGGGGGTGGGATGGGGAATGGGGGTGGGATGGAGGGTTTTCAGAGAGGAAACCGGGAAGGGGGATAATATTTGAAATGTAAATAAATGAAATAACCAATAAAAAATGAAAACAAAACAAAAAAGAAAGAAATTAAAAAGAAAAGACGATAACTATAAGAGAGTGAGGGAGATGAGGAATGTCCTTATTTGACTATTTGGAAAATTTCAACCTTCTCACTAAATTTTCTTGACCAATTATGAACTCCATATGTTAATATTCTACTCCCCTTAATGTTTTATGCACCAGGCTCCAAAATTATAAATCTATAGATTCCATGTAAAGGGGAAATAGTCTGCATGAAGAGATGGGATACAAAGGAAGTGGATGTAGACAGGATCACTTACCAAATGGAGGGCTTGACCCCTCTGGAGAGGCAGTGATATTCATAGGCTTTTCTACGAATAAAAAAGAAGACCAAGTATAAACAAACAGAAACCTCTCCCCTGCTGGAGACAAACACGTGTGCTCACATGCTTGTGAAGCAGAAGTTCATGACATTTAACAACACAATCTGTAGAGTCAGGCTGCCTAGATTTGACTGCCCAGTATAGCACTTATATGAGAAAACCTCTGGAAAGTATTTCAACATCTGGGAGTCCATTTTCCCATCTTTCCAGTAGAATTGGTACTACCATACAATGGGTTGACTTGTAAATAATAGTTCATATTTAGCATTGATAAACTAGAAGCCCAAAATATGAAATACTACAAAAATTTGATATTTCTAAGCACTAACGGGATGCCACAAATAAAAAAAAATCATACTTGACCCTCATAGGACAGGTTTCAATCAAAACTTGGATGATCAGGGAGGAATTGCAAAGAGGAAGGAGTATGATCAAAACGTATTGCATGTAAAAATGTAAATAAATAGGAATTATATAAAAATCACCATTTTGGTTTGGCTATGTATATAAAACATAAATGGGGCCAGGAGTGCTAGTGCTCATTTCTAATCCCAGCAATTGGAAGGCAGAGCCTAGTCAATATTTCTGATTCTGGGGCCACCTGATCTACATAGAAAGTTGAAGTCAGCCATGGTTACACAGTGGGAATCTGCCATTAAAAATATAATAATTTAAAGAGGAACCAGAAAGATAACTCAGCTGGTAAAGTGCTTGAATAGCATACATCAAGCCCTGAGTTTTATCCCCAGCACAACATAAGCTGAATATGGTGGCAAATGCCTGTAATTCCAGCACAGGAGAGATGCAGACAGAGGGATGGTTCAAGGTCGTCCTCTGCTATATAATGGATTTGAGACCAGCCAAGGCTACATGAAACTATGACCCAATGTTTATGAAACTAAGAAAAGGGAGAGGAGAGCTTTTGAGGCTGCTTGGCAAGAATCTGATGTGGGCCAAGGACAAGAAAATGGGCTGCTTGACAAGAATCTGACATTAGGCTAAAACAAAGAAGTAATTTCAGGAAGGAATCTAAATCTTAGGCTAGAACAAGGAAGTAGGTTTAAGACATGAAAATGACTTCGGGCTAGGACAGGGAAGTAGGCTCAGATATTTTGGTCATCCTGATAAGCCCTTAGAAAGTATTCATGGAAGTGATCACGGGAGTGATCAGGAGACTTTGTTTATTGCCTTGCTTGTTCCTTGACTATTTGTATCTATTGTATTGCTAGCTCCTCAACCTAGAACTGACCTTAATACTTGCATGTAATTAAAATGGTATAAAAGCAAAAAGGAGGAGGAGGGATGGGATAGGGGGTTTCTAGGGAGGGGAAATGGGGAAAGGGGATGACATCTGAAATGTAAATAAATAAAATATCCTATTAAAAAAAAGAAAAATGACTATAGATAGACTTTGATGGTAGGAAGGAGAACCCATCCTTGTGTCCCTTTTGTGTTGAGCTTTCAATGTCTACTTACTCACCAATTGCAGATATTTTGTTTGTGGGTAAGACTGAAGGTCTCCTGGAGGAGGCTTCTAAGAGTTTCAAAAAGGAATGTTATAAGGAAACAGAATAATGACAGTCCATCCCAAGTGCCCCCACTCTCCAGACCCCTTCTAAGACGCCTGTGTTCTCTCAAGCTCCTTCATCTGACACATACTGTCCAACTACTGCGTTTAATAAATTCAAAACCCCCTGCACTTGGTGGCCTCAAAGAATTGGATCATTTTTCAACTGATAGACATTTAAGTTGTTTCCACTTTGTGGCTGATATGAATGAAGCTGTTATAACCATCCACATATGAGAACATATGTGAACAAAATTGTAGGAGTTTAAATGAGAATGTCCCCCATAGGCTCAAATATTTGAATGTCTGTTCCCCAGTTGATCAAAGTGTTTGGGAAGGATTAGAAGGTGTGGCCTTGTTGGAGAAGCCCCACCCCTCTCTCTTGCTCTCACTCTCTCAGCTCTCTAGCTCTCGATCTCAATCTTGTGTGCTCTCTTTCTCTCTCTCTCTCTCTCTCTCTCTCTCTCTCTCTCTCTCTCTCTCTCTTGTTCTCACTCTCTCTCTCTGTCACATGCTTGTGGATCACAACACAAGCTCTCAGTTACAGCTACAGTGTTATGCCTGTCTGTCTGCTACTGCATTCCACACCATGATGGACATAAACTCACCCTCTGAAACTGTAAGGCTCACTAAATGTTTTCTTCTATAAGTTACATTGGTCATGGTGTCTTATCACAGCAATAAAAAAGTAGCTAAAATAGTAAGTTTTCAATTTTCTTTCTATTTTAGGTTCTTAATTTTTATTTAGTACTCGCACAAGAGTTTTAGAATCACTGTGTCATAGGATAACTCTGACTTCTGAGAGAATACAAGACTAGTTTTCAAATCATACGTAGTAGATGTAATGCAGAAAACTCTGGGGTGGTTTTAATAGGTATGACCCCCATAGACTCATGTGTTTTAATGTTTGACCCATAGAGAGTGGCACTATTAGGAACTGTGGCCTTGTTGAAGTAGCCTTAGTGGGAAAAGGTTATCATTATGAGAGTGGGCGTTGATGTCTCCTATGCTCAAGCTACACCTAGAATGGCACACAATCTTCTGCTGCCTATGGATCAAGATGTAGAACTCTCAGCTCCTTCTCCAGCACCATGTCTCCCTGAATGCCACCATGCTTCCCACCATGACAATAATAATCTAAACCTCTGAAACTGTATGTCAGCCCCAATTAAATGTTTTCCTTTATAAGAGTTGTCATGGTCATGGTGTCTCTTCACAGCAATAAAACCCAAACTGATATAAGCTCTAAATCTTTCCAATGATTGTCCTGATTAATTACTTGGTTGACTGGTTGCTGGCTTTTTAGCTTGTTGGTTGGTTGGTTGGTTGGTTGGTTGGTTGGTTGGTCGGCTTGTATTTGTGTAGTTATAACAATCTTAGTAGACACATGTATGTGAATTTTATCTCAGTTTTAAACAAGTATCATGAAAGAAGCAGTTATTAGTTTGTACTTTAGGAGTCTCCTTCCATCCTAAGTACAATGTCTTCACATGAAGCTGTCTATTGTTTTTACCAAAATGTTTCTTGAACCCATTAAGCCTGTGAGTACACCACTTGAAGATAGGAACTATATTTTCAGGCACATTTGTAGTAGAACTTCATTCCCCAGAAACCAGAATCTACTGAACTCACCTGTCATGGGATATGGTACCAGGCTGGGAGTGGCAGAGGGTCCTGAGAAATCAGAAAAGGAGAGAAGTCAGTACTCTATGGGTTAACTATGGGTTCTAAGAAAATAATTAAACATTTATAGGACTTGATTTTCTCACGAAGCAAGTGAATATGAAGAAGTTTCCACTGCTAACTGACTGGAAATGCTCCCTGGTACAATCTGCAACTGCTTCCCTACCTTTGTCTTCCCTGGACCCTTGTCTCCAATACCCTCACTTGTCATTTTTCCCTTTCCTGGTGCTTGTCCCCAAGAATTAGATGTGGAGATGAGAACCATGGGAAAAGTTTTGGAAATGCATCAGGAATCACAGATGCAAGGAAATATGTAATGGGAGGTGAGATAAAGACTTAAAACAGTATACAGTATTCTGAGTTTTGAAGTAAAAGAATATATGATAGTCCTTTTTATTATTTATTATTATATAATTATATATAACTAAATCTATTATATTGTATATTATATAATTATATTTTATTTAATATTTATAAAATAAATGAAATTTTCGATTCATTCTTTTTTTTTTTGGTACTTGGAGTTGAACCTAAGTGCCCTGTGCATGCTGTGTGCGATACCACTGAGATACATTTCATTCATTATTCTAAATCATTCTGACAATCCATAACATTTCAGACTTTCAGTTTTAAATAATGTTTTCTAGTTCCATTCTATAGGAAAATCAAAATTGACAAGTCAGAAAGTAGATTGAAGATGAAACTCAGCTGGGATAGTGCTTGCTTAGTATGCACCATGCCCTGGGCTCCATCCCTGCCACATAAACCACATAGTAGCTCAATCCTGTAGTCCCAGTAGCCAGAAGTTCAAGGTTATTCTCCTCGGTTTGAACATAATAAATTCACACCAGCCTGAGATACATAAGACCCTGATTTTAAAAATAAAATTTTAAAACTAGAAAAAATAAAATACTGTGAATACAAAAGCAAAAGAAACCAACCCAGCAACTCATGAGCCCAAAATAATTGTTGCTGTGTCATATGTTCATTTATTTTTCATTTAATCTTTTGAGAATTTTATATATAAGTATTGTACTTATCTCATTTCTAACCCGTACTTTCCCCTTTTCAATTCACCCCATGTTTCCCCTACTCTACCTCAAATTCATGACTTTTTCGTTAGTGCTATGCATATAAAAATATAAGCTGATTCCATTTAATTTTTCTCAGATGTACATGTGTTTAGAGATTTCCATCTGAGATTGAATAATCTATCAGGAGCTTGTTTCTGGGAAGACTAATTCATTCTCTCTCTCTCTCTCTCTCTCTCTCTCTCTCTCTCTCTCTCTCAGCAGCCACTGATTGCCTATAGTTCTTCATCTAGAGGCAGGGCCTTGTGAGATTTCAATGAGTTGGCAATGTCAAGTGGAGATGCCATTATTCAGGTCTTGTTTATGGACACAGCTTCCCTGTCATATCAAGAAAATACTATCTCACAGCAGGCATCCTGGTCATCTGCCTCATAATCTTTAATAGGTTTATATTCCTTTTTCTTAGTGAACTAATCATTTTTGTTCAGACTTCTATTTCTATAGAGTCATAGATAGTAAAACTATTAAAGCACAAAATCTAAGAATTAATTGAGGTTTAGAGGATCGAAGAAGAAAAACCTTCAGATCTTACTTTACAGGTACCTATACTATTATATTTTTATAATAAGTGTGATACTTCTTGACTGTTAACTAAGAAAGTAGGAATGCACACCTCTAGCTGTGTCTATGAGAGCATTTCCAGAAACATCAAAAAGAACACGATCGATGGATTAACCCACTGATGGATTCATTGCGTGGTAGGGGAAGTTGTAGAGGGTGCAGCATGGTTGGGGGCAGTAGGTCACAAGCATGTCTTTGAAGAGCACATCTTGACTTAGTCCCTTCCTATGATCATTCTTCCTGGCTGCCATGAGTTCAAGTGACCTTACTCTATGACATCTTTCTGCCTTGAAGTTCTTCTGCCTTATCTCTAGCCCAGGAATACAGAAGCAAGCTACCATGAGTAAAAGGAAGCCTCTGAAAGTGTAAATCAAATAAATCTTTCCTCCTTTAGGTTGTTTCCCAGGCAACTTTACACAATGACAAACTGTAGAGAACTGGATGGATCCAAGGCTTTCTCAGAGGCCCTGATTAAAGGACAAAAGAAGCCAAGTTCTTTATCCTTGCTCAAGACTGGGGCCAGGGCCTTGGAAGAGTCAAGGTTTCAGTTCCTTGGAACTTAAATTTTTGTCCTGAAGAAACTAGAGATTCCAGTCACAAGGCTGCTCTGTAATGCTCTTGATGATAACTGTGTTCCCCTTGCACAATATTGCTTGATGAGTCTCCAACTGACTTCATCCCATTGTATAATAGTTTCTGCTGACTTTATTCTGTTTCTTCCCTGAAAATAGTATATAAGACATTGTATGTACTTCTTAATAAGCTTGATTGGCAAAAGTCATAGCGTGTGCAGGACCTTTCAATCTCAAAGTTTCTTATCTCCCTTATCTTCTATCCTCTTTACCCTCTGACCCCCTAGTCCTCTCTCTCAGGACTTTGTTACTGAAGAATAACCTGCTGGTCCAGGTAAACTAAAAGCTGATAGACAAAAAGGTTTCTAAAGAATTATAGAAACAAAAGACATTCTGCTACTAAAATCTCAACTATGCATTTTGTTTTATTTAATTTTTTTATATACCACAGATCTTGTAACTTTTTTATTGCCCTTCCTTAATTGTTTCTTGATTTCATTATACTGAATTATGTTAGGCCATTTTGTATATGTATACATATATGTATATGTGTATTCATACATACATATATGTATATGAAGTACTTTGAACAGATTCTCCCTGCTCTATCTCCCTCCCGTTAGTCCCACTGTAACTCTTAGAGCAGTGGTTCTCAACCTTCCTAATGGGATGACCCTTTAGAACAGTTCCTCATGTTGTGGTGACTTCCAACCATAAAATTATTTTTGTTGCTACTTCATAATTGTAATTTAGCTACTGTTATGAATTATAATGTAAATATCTGTTTTTCAATGGAGGCCTCTAATGAAAAGGTTATTGATCTATGGGTTCAGAACTACTGCCCTAGATAGTTTTCTTTCAGCCTTCTTGCTGTGTGTAAATATATTATTGTATGTATCTATATAAAATCTATGAGACACAAATGAAAAAAAACATGATATTTGTCTTTCTGAGACTGACTTAATTTGTTTAATGTATTTACATCCAGCTGGAACCATTCCTACATACCCATAATTGTAGTCATCTTTATGGCCAAAAAACGTTCCCTCTGGTTAAGAATTACATCTACTTTTCTTTATCCATCCCTCTGTTGATGGACAAATAGGTTGATTCCATAACTTGGCTGTTGTGAACAGTGTTACAATAAATAGTGGTGTATGTCTCTGTAGTGTGTGTGTGTGTGTGTGTGTGTGTGTGTATGTGTTATACATTTTTTAGTTTTCTAAATAAAATCTATATTGGTTCCCATAGTGTTTGGACTGTTTTATATTCCCAGAGGCCATGAATAATGGCTCATTTTTGTCCACATTCTCACTAGGATTTGTAATTTGTTTTCTTGATGACCACCATTCTGTCTGGGATAAGCTAGATTCTCAAGAAATGTTTTTAATCTGCATTTCTACGGTGCTAGTGATATGGTACACTTTTTCATGTTTATTAGTACTTAATCATTTGAGAGGCTAAAAATGTTTGTTTTCTTTATACATTCCTTTGGTCAGTTCTATACCTTAGCTTTGTGATTGGAACTGAAGTAATTGACAGCTCTATTTTATAAGAAGTGAGACCTTTTACAGACTTGAGACTTTTACAATGTTAAGGTAATAAATTTGTGTTATTGTGAGCCAACAAGAGTCTGGTGATTTGTTGTAGCAGCTGTAGGACACTCGTGCACCTCCAAAGCTGATTGGAGCCAGAGGCTCTCCTTGTCCACACCTGACTCCCTTGAAATTTCCACATATGCCAAAGAAAAAAAAATCTTGAATCTGGACCCTCTTACCAGTAACCACAAGCACTAGAGGGTCACTCGGAGCTGACCACAGGTGTGGAGATGAGCTGTAAAAGCCGTAACACCGGTAAGTCCCACTGTGAGCAGCAGTCACTGTGATGATGGGGAAACTGGACCGGTACCATTTCTCAGATATCGTATAAGGCCTAGTATCCCCCTCTTTGTATAGAACAAATTCATCAAAACTGCGTTGGCTGTGACACTTTAGGGTCACATCCCTGCCTGGAAGGACTGATGAGCTGGGATGAGCTGAGAGTGAGGGCTTCTCGTAAACACCTGGGAAAAAAAGGAAACTCTATTAAAGACGGGAAATAGGCTGGGGAGATGAAGGATTTCTGTGCTTGCTTAAGACTTAGAATATACAAAGGTCATCTTCCACTTTGGACCTGGGCTGGGAGCAGAGATTCTGCTTTGCATTTCAACAAACTCAGCCCACACCCCAGTTGCAGCTCGACTCCCCAAGTATTCTTACACATCCAGGATCACAGGGGAGACCCCAAACCTGTCACAATACCTTACAGAAACAGGACTCCCTTACTCTAGGACACAGATACCCTTCCCAGCCAGAGACCTGCACTCCTTCTGCTTTGGACCTGTACTGGGAACAGGGCCTCTGCTCTGGATCCCAACACATTCAGCCCTCAAACCAGTTGCAACTTAACCATGCAGCGGTTCTGACCCAACCAGGATCACAGAATGACAGGTTCACAAGATTACAGGCTCACAGAAGGGGTGGGCTCCAGTCATAGACAATGAGGCCAGTTAACACCAGAGACAACTAGATGGCAAAAGATAAGCACAAAGACATAAACAACAGAAACCAATACAATTTGACAACATCAGAACCCAGTTCTCCCACCACAGAGAGCCCTGGATATCCGAACACTCCTATAAACCAAGATTCAGATCGAAATTCTCATCTCATGAAGATGACAGAGGACTTTAAGAAGGACATAAATAATTCTCTTAAAGAAATACAGAACACAGATAAACAAGTAGAAGCCCTTAAAGAGGAAACACATAAACCACTTAAAGAAATACAGGAAAACACAACCAAACAGATGAAGAAACTGAACAAAATTGTCCCAGATCTAAAAATAGAAATAGAAACATTGAAGAATACACAAAGGGAGAAAGCCCAGGAAATGGAAAGCCTAGGAAAAAGAGGAGGAGTCGCAGATACAAGCATCACCAATAAAATACAAGAGATAGAAGAGAGAATTGCAAGTGTAGAAGATATCATAGAAGACGTCAACACAACAGTGAAGAAAAATGCAAAACACGAAAGGGCCCTAACTCAAAGGATTCAAGAAATCCAGGACACAATGAAAAGATCAAACCTGAGAACAATAGGCATTGGAGTGAAGATTCCCAACTCAAAGGGCAAGCAAACATCTTCAACAAAAATATAAAAGAAAATTTTCCATAACCTAAAGAAACAGATGTCCATAAACATACAAGAAGAAACAAGCTGGAGTAGCCAATCAAATATCCAATAAAATATTCTTTCAATCAAAAGTTATCAAAAAGATGAAAAAGGATACCACATATTCATCAAAGAAAAAAATTTGCCAAGATGAACTCCCAGTTCTGAACATCTATGACACAAATCCAAGGGCACCCACATTTGTAAAAGAAATATTATGGAAGCTGAAAGCACACATACAACCTCACACAGTAATTATAAAAGATTTCAACACCCCACTCTCACCATTGAACAGATCATGAAAACAGAATATAAACAGAGACATAGTGAAACTAAAAATGTTATGAACCAAATGGATTTAACAGATATCTACACAGCATTTCACTCTAAAACAAAAGAATATACCTTCTTCTCAGCACCTCATGATACCTTCACAAAAACTGATGATATAATTGAACAAAAAATAAACCTCAACAGATACAAGAACATTGAATTAATCCCATGTATTCTATGGGACCACCACTAACTATGGCTGTTCTTCAATAATAACAAAAACAACAGAAAACCCACATACACATGGAAGCTAAACACCTATTTACTCAATGATAACTTGGACAAAAAAGAAATTAAAAAAAGAAGTTAGAGGCTTTTTAGAATTTAATGAAAATGAAAGCACAACATATCCAAACTTACGGGACACAACGAAATCATTACTAAGAGGAAAACTCTTAGCCCTGAGTTCCACCATAAAGAAATTGGTGAGTTCATATACTAGCAGCTTAACAGCATCTGAAAGCTCTAGAACAAAAAGAATCAAATACACCCAAGAGGAGTAGACAGCAGGAAATAATCAAACTCAGGGCTGAAATCAAACAAGTAGAAACAAAGAGAGCTATACAAAGAAACAGCAAAACAAGGAGCTAGTTTTTGAGAAAATCAACAAGATATATAAACCTTAGCCAAACTAACTAGAGGACACAAAGACAGTACAGTATCAAAATTAACAAAATCAGAAATGAAAGGGGAGACATAACAAGAGAAACTGAGGAAATGAAAAAAATCATCCGACCCTACTACAAAATCCTATACACAACAAAACTGGAAAATCTGGATGAAATGGATGATTTTTTAGACAGATACCAGGTACCACAGTTAAATCAGGATCAGATAAACCATTTAAATAGCCCCATATCCCCTAAAGAAATAGAAGCAGTCATTAAAAGTCTCCCAACCCAAAAAAAAAAAAAAAAGGCAAGGGCCAGATGATTTTAGTGCAGAATTCTATCAGACCTTCAAAGGAAACATAATACCAATACTTCTCAAACTATTCCACAAAATAGAAACAGAAGGAACATTACTCAAATCTATCTATGAAGCCAAAGTTACACTGATACCTAAACCACAAAAAGACTCAATAAAGAAATAGAACTTCAGACCAATTTCCCTCAGGAATATTGATGCAAAAATACTGAATAAAATTCTTGTAAACCGAATCCAAGAACATATCAAAACAATCATTCACCATGATCAAGTAAGCTTCATCCCAGGACTGTAGGGATGGTTCAATATATGGAGATCCATCAATGTAATCCACTATATAAACAAACTCACACATTCAGGAAAGACACCTCAGTGACAAAGAAAGACACTACCTCAGAGGTCTTTTCAAAAAAGAAAAAAAATCACATGAATATCTCATTAGATGTTTTAAAAAAAAGCCTGTAATAAAACACAACACTCCTTCATGTTAAAAGTATTGGAGAAATCAGGAATTCAAGGTCCATACCTAAATATAATAAAAGCAATATACAGCAAACCAACAGCCAACATCAAACTAAATGAAGAGCAACTCAAAACACTCTCATTAAAATCAGGCACACGTCAAGACTACCCATTCTCTCCCTACCTATTCAATATACTTCTAGCCAGAGCAATTAGACAACAAAAGGAGATCAAAGGGATACAAATTGGGAAGGAGGATGTCAAGATACTACTATTTACAAATGATGTGGTAGAATCATAGTCAACCACAAAAATTCTGCCAGAGAACTCCTATAGCTGATAAACAACTTCAGCAAAATGACTGGATATAAAATTACTCTAACAAATCAGTAGCCTTTCTCTACTCAAAGGATAAATGAGATGAGAAAGAAATTAGAGAAACAACAACTTTTGCAATAGTCACAAACAACATAAAATATCTTGGTGTGACTCTAAATAACCAAGTGAAAGATATGTATGACAATAACTTCAAGTCCCTGAAAAAAGAAATCGAAGAAGACCTCAGAAGAGGAAAAGATCTCCCATGCTCATGGATTGGCAGGATTAATATAGTAAAAATGGCCAACTTACCAAAAGAAATCTGCAGGTTCAATGCAATCCCCATCAAAAATTTCAGCTCTATTCTTCATAGAGTTAGAAAACCCAGGATAGCAAAAATCATTCTCAACAATAAAAGAACTTCTGGGGGAATCACCATCCCTGACCTCAAGCTGTACTACAGAGCAATAGTGATAAAAACTGCATGGTACTGGTACAGAGATGGGCAGGAAGGTCAAGGGAATAGAACTGATGACCCAGAAATGAACCCACACACCTATGGTCACTTGACCTTTGACAAAGGATTTAAAACTATCCAGTGGAAAAAGGACAGCATTTTCAACAAATGGTGCTGGTTCAACTGGAAGACAACATGTAGAAGAATGAAAATTGATCCATTCTTATCCCCTTGTACAAAGCTCAAGTCTATGTGGATAAAGGACCTCCACATAAAACCAGATACACTGAAACTAATAGAAGAGAAGGTGGGGAAAAGCCTCGAATACTTGGGCACAGGGGAAAAGTTCCTGAACAGAACTCCAATGGCATATGCTCTAAGATCGAGAATTGACAAATGGGACTTCATAAAATTGCAAAGTTTCTGTAAGGCAAAGGACACTGTCAATAGGACAAAACGACAACCAACAAATTGGGAAAAGATCTTTACCAATCCTTCATCTGATAGAGGGCTAATATCCAATATATACAAAGAACTCAAGAAATTAGACTCCAGACAACCAAATTACCCTATTAAAAAATGGGGTATAGAGCTTAACAAAGAATTTTCAACGGAAGAAACTCGAATGGCCGAGAAGCATCTAAAGAAATGTTCAGCATCCTTAGTCGTCAGGGAAATGCAAATCAAAACAACCCTGAGATTCCATCTCACACCAGTCAGAATGGCTAAGATTAAAAACTCAGGTGATAGTAGATGCTGGCGAGGGTGTGGAGAAAGAGGAACACTCCTCCATTGTTGGTGGGACTGCAAGATGGTGCAACCACTTTGGAAATCAGTCTGGCGGTTCCTCAGAAAATTGGACATAGCATTACCCGAGGATCCAGCTATACCACTCCTAGGCATATACCCAGAAGATGCTCGAACATATAACAAGGACATATGCTCAACTATGTTCATAGCAGCCTTATTTATAATAGCCAGGAGCTGGAAAGAACCCAGATGTCCTTCAACTGAGGAATGGATTCAAAAAATGTGGTATATTTACACAATGGAGTATTACTCAGCTATTAAAAACAATGAATTCGAGAGGTTCCTAGGTAAATGGATGGAACTAGAAATTATCATCCTGAGTGAGGTAAGCCAATCACAAAAGAACACACATGGTATTCACTCACTGATTATTGGATATTAGCCTAGAACCTTGAAATGCCCAAGATGCAACTCACAGGCCACATGAAGCCCATAAAGAAGGAAGACCAAGTGAGGGTGATTCGGTCCTTCTTAGAAGGAGCAACAAAATACTCAAGGGAGCAAATATGGAGACAAAGTGAGGGACAGAAACTGAAGGAGGGG